AAAAGGAAAACGGCACAGCGCACAGCGCGCACCCCTGCACGGCGGCACATTTTGACGCGCATCCCGCACAGCGCAACCGGTGCGCACACCCGCGCACATGCGCATGCAGTGCGGGTGAGCGCATCCCGCACGGCGCACCGCATCGCATCGCGCACCGGTGCACCGCAAGTATGTCATAAATGTTTGATCTTCCACACTCCTCTCTCCAACCAGGTCAGCCATCTGCGGACTCTCGCACGGAGGGTCCAAGGGTTACTTTCTGCATCCTTTATCCATGGATTGCTGAAGAGAGGTTGCCTGGGGACTTCCTCTTTGTTGTTCGGCGTGCCATGTTTGTTGGGCATCAGTCGACGCCAAGCTTTCAAGGTCAGCATCCAGTAAGGGTTGGGCGAGGGGGTAGGCTGACTGGTCAGCTGTTGCCGCACTCTCCTCGCTGTCCTCCCTATTTTGATTGACGTCCTCCCTATTTTGATTGACCATTCCTTGGCCATGATCCAGAAGAGGGCCCGCATGTTGGGTGGAGAATTTACTGGTGCAAGGTTTCTTATGCTGTCTAGGGCCATTTTTGTCCAAGGGAGAATTTCAAATTGTTTGGTTAGGATCTTAATAATTCATTTCATCTGAAGGTCTGAAGGGTGATTGCTTCCTGTTTTGGGTCTATCATGCCCAAGCCTCCTTCTTGCGGTTTTCTGGTGACTAGTTGCCATGCAACCTTGTTTGTGCAAGTGGTCCTGTTAGGGTCCCCAGTCCACAGGAAGCATCTGACCCTAGCCTTCAGAGTCTTGAGATCGTCGTTAGGGGGGGACTAAATGGATGCCATATACCATAGGGTAGAGAATATTGTTGTGTTTATGATTAGTGCTCTGCCGAACAGAGACGCCTGGGGTTTCTTACACGGGGCTAGGTGAGCTATTGCCTTTGCAATTAGATTGTGTCCCATCCCTGGCCATTTGCCATCCTTGTTGACCAGGATACCCAAGTACCGGGGTGCTGGGTCGCCTTTGGACCATGACATAGGGGGTGGATAGATCCGGAGGTTGAGCGGGGTGCCATCTGCTAGCCACCAGCCTTCGGTTTTAAGCCAGTTCACCTTCATTTCTGATGCAAGTCGGAAGGCTTCCATGGCTCTTTATCTTTCTCGGAGTCCCTTGTAATTAGTTGGTTAAGAAATGACAGACTACGGCATCGTAGAGGAGACAGAGGCACCAGGAATACAAAGAGGATAGTCAAGCGTAGCAGAAAAGTGCTCTTCAGGGGGGGAAATAACCAAGTCGAAGCTCTGGGTCCACAAGCATAACAGGCAGCTAAGAGAAGCTGAGAGGAGCAAAAAGTGAGGTAGGACGGACAGAAAATTCAGAAGCAAGCCCAGCACTGAATAAGAGGAGTAAAAGGGCAGATAGTCCTAGGAGTAAGAAATGAGATAGGTCAGATTTGGCATCGGTGAGGGGAGGTACATCCTTCCACAATGCAAGTCTGGAAGTCATCACTGCCGGCCACTTGGGTCTTTCGACCATAATGTGGAGAAGCATCAGAGAGTGTTTATGTTGTATTCTTGACTTGCTGGTGGCGTAGGAAACCTAACTGATGCTCCCCGGAATGGATATGGAGCCAGAACCACAAGGTTCTGTCTTTTCTTTTTTTTCTTTTTCTTTTTCTTTTTTTTTTTCTTTTTTTTCCTTTTTTTCTTTTTCTGAAGTATCGCATCTTGTTATTGTTCAGACTTCTAAGCTCAAAACTCCTTTTTTTTTTGCGGCATCGAACTTCTGTCTGATCGGTGATCTGGAACCACTCATCAACGCTGTGCTGACTCTGGCAGGGATGCGTATGCCTGGAAACTTCAGCAGGAGGTGCATGCCCTTCGTTTATATCAGAAGAAAAGAAAGGTAAGCCACATTACATCGGAAAAAAAAAAAAAAAAAAAAAAAAAAAAAAAAAAAAAAAAAAAAAAAA